GAGGCCCCTTCCCATGGCCACTCCAGGTGCCTGAGCCTCTGTGCCCACACGTCCTTCTCCCTAATCTGCTGCTCCCCAGCCTTGCTCCTTGGCCCAGAGAACAAAAGAAACATGAGGATGTTGGTCCAGACCCCAGCCATGAAGGTCTCTTACGGGCAGAACCTCCGTCACTCCTGACCCGGCACCTCTCTGCTCCACCGTGTCTCCAGCAGCTGTTTGGTTGGGTTGCTCTGGAGAGAGGGTGGCAGTGAAGGACACTGAAAGTTGAATATGACATGAGTCACAGAGTCCTCCAGTGCGCTCTCCAGAGCTCAATAGCCGCCATGCCCTACTGTCCCCACTGCTGTGGAGTGGACTCCAGTGGGGGAGGTGCCCAGTGCTGGCCCCAGGCATCTCCCACTTCTGACCTGTCACCTGGCCCGTTTTCTCTTCTCTGAGGGGCAATGTTGGCTGGGCACAGCATCCTCTGGGCCCTCAGGGTGGTCCTGGTCATCCACAGACCCTTCTCTCCCCACACCTCCACCTCCTGACCCCGATTTCCTGTGTCCTCGGACAGGACCTCGTCATGAAGCCACTGTCGTGTTGACCCGGTCAGCTCTGCAGCAGAAACGGGGACCCTACAGCCAGGTGTGTAGAGGCCCTGCCCTGCTGGGCAGCGTGGCGGTGGTGATGTCCCCGAGGCTCTCTGCATTTCAGTTTACCTCAGAGGAACTGCCCAGGGGTCTCCAGGAGGACTGGATGAGACGGTCGGCTTAAAGCCCCCGGGGGGACAAGGGCAGGTGGACACCTCTCATCCACAAAGGACAACTAATGTGTGTCAGGCAGAAATGCATAAGGACGAAGGGCAGCGAGGACAAGAGCAGTGAAGGGTCCGGAGCCGGGTGGACGGTGGCGCTGGGCTCTGCCGACTCAGGGAAGCCGAACCCTTCCCAGGGGTGTGGAAAGTCCTGGGTACCAAACTCCAGGGCTCAGACCCGAGCAAGTGGGCATGCAAGGACCTGGATCAGGAGGACAGTGAGGGCCGTCCGAGAGGCAGCTGACCCCTGGGCATCCGCACACACCCTGGAGGGGCCTAGAGACTTTTTCTCTGGAGAGGCCATCACTGGGACTGGTGGCACAGAGGAGCCTAGGAGCTGTCCCCCACAGTGGGACTGCACAGGACACAGGGCACAGGTCCCCTGCTCCCTAAGGTGGCAGCCAGACATTCACTCTCCAAGCAGCAGGCTGGAAGCGTCTTACCAGCCTCCAGCCAGACCACACTACTGGGGCTCCCGACGTGTAGACTTTAATCTGTTTTCTAGTTTTCCCAGATCAAAAGTAAGCACCAAGGTGGAACCGACTGCCTGCCAAGCACCGGTGGGAAGTGAGGAGAGGGAAAGATAAAAATACATCAGGCTTTCGACAGCCCCGGGGGCCATACACACAGAAAGAGCTGCTCCCCGGGTAGGAACAACCCACATGTCCATCAGCTGATGAATGGACCAGTGTATTGTGCTCTACCCATACAAGACAACGCTCCTTCCACCTCAAAAGGAACAAGGGACTGACACATGGTGTGACGTGGAGGAACCTTGAAAACATGATGCTAGGGGCAGAAGCCAGACGCAGAAGACCAAATTCCATAGGGTCCATTTGTCTGAAATGTCCAGAAGAGGCACAGCTGTGGAGACAGAAAAGTGCCTTCCTGGTTCCCAGGGCCTGGGGGGAGGGGCTGGGAATGACTGAGCAGGGATGGGGCCTCCTTTGGAGGTGGTGAAAATGTTCTGCAATGGATAATGATGACGGTGGCACAACTCGGAATATATCAACCAAGGCTGAATTTCATGTGGATTATTTCTCAACTTAAAAAAAAAAAACCTGGAGGAAGCAGACTCTGCTTACTTACTATTAGTAGCAGGCAGATGGGAAGATTTCTCATCTATGCATCAAGAACGGGAGATTACAAAAAAAGCAACACTCAGAAAACAACAAGGACAACCAAAGGAGCTTGGGAATGTCATGACATGATGGGTGACATCCAAGACCTAAAGCAAGGTTGGAAGGTAGTGTTGGGAAAGTGTCAGAAAGAGACACAGCTGCAGAGAGAAGAAACGGGAGGCCCGCGTCCCAGGGCAGCAGCTCCCAGGTAAGGGTTTCCAGAGGAGAGAGCAGAGATCAGAAGGGACTTGTCCAGCTGCAGGACACATGCTTGCAGGTGAAAGAGGCTCAGCACAACGGATAAAAATAGACCGACACTAAGGCACTTTATTGTGCAATTTCAGGACAATGAAGGCCAGAAGAAGATCTTAACAGCCTCCAGGGAGAGGAAAAGAAGGCACCGCACAAAGGCTGCCTTCCTGGCAGCAGCTGTGGGATCTGTAAGATGATGCAGCTGTCTGCAGTGAGAGCATTTCCCACTGGATTTCTAGACCTGAAGAAACGGTCCATCACGTGCAAAGGCAGGAGAAAGGCATCTTCAGGAATTTGGGGTCCGCAATTAGAAGTAGCAGATTAAATGTTCATGCTGCAAGGATCCTGAAAACAGTCCCAGGGAAGAGGCAGAAATGTCACAAGATAAGCAGCATGTGGCGGGCAAAGTCAAGTGCTGGGGGAGCACACACTGCCCTGGCGTGGACAGGGAGAGGGGCAAGGGAAGAGGAGGGGGGCCAGGGAGAGGGTGGAGAGGAGAGGGGGCAGGTGGCCTTGGACCTTCTACTGAGATCATCTGGGGATATGAGTTCAGCTTTGCAGAGTCTGAAGGGCTTTCCCTGGCGCAGTGAGAAACTGGCTGTGCCTGGGAAGCCTGGCAGTGGCACTGGTGCGGGAGTCTGCTTGGACTGTGCGGAGCCCCGCAGGCCAGAGCTTTAACAATAGACCGTGTGCGTGTGTGTGTGTGTGTGTGCGTGTGTGTGAGAGAGAGAGAGAGAGAGAGAGAGAGAGAGAGAGAGACTGGGGATTGAACCCAAGGGTGCTCTGGGCCCTGTCTTTCACTGGCAGGACGCCCCTCCCCTGCATGCCCATGTGGTTGTCCCCTGGGTGTGTCTGCGTCAGGCCTCCTCTTCTCATGAGGACAGATGGGATCAGGGCCCCATGACCTCCCGCTACCTTCATGACCTCTGCAGAGGCCTTCTCTCCAGATAGGAGGTGCTAGGGGCTGGGTCTCAAATGGGATTTTGGTGGCAGGGGGACCCTGCAGCCCCCAACAGCTGGGAGGATGGCCTGTCAGGGACTGGGTCTCCCACCTCTCCCTTGCGCAGCACTGAGCCCTCAGGGGCCTTTGAGAATCGGGGTAGGGCCAGCTGGACGACCCGGCCTTCCTCTCAGGCCCCTGGTCTATGCCTTGTTTGATTTTATTAAAATCGTTCCTTCTAGAACCATCCTCCACTTCCCAGCAGGAAGCACTTTGGTGGGTTTATCTCAAAATGCCTCTCCAGGAGCACCCAGGCTTGTTTCTACCCGGTAGGCTGAGTATTTGGGGCGGGCACAGATTTTTCCTGCTGGATCCTAGGAAGAGGCTGACTGGGGTCCATTCTCTTGAACACAGGTCAAGAAAGGAGACGTCAACCCTGCAGCTCCTTCTCCTCAAACCCTGCCTAACATGCCTTTCACCCGAGGAACATGGGCCATTGAAGACAAGCAGAAGCATGTGCGTGTGCACGCGCGCGCGCGCACACACACACACACACACACACACACACCCCTGAGGTTTTGGGCAGGGTTGAAACAAAGGCTGCTCTTTTTATTTTTGCTTGGTGTCTGGTTGTGGGTGGTGAATAAGCTCCTTTTCTTGGATGAGGGAGGCCCTCTGCAGCCTGGGCTCCAGGGCCTGCCGGGGAGCAGTGTCTAATGAGTTACTGGAGAGTCAGAGGTTTTGTGGGACTGTGTGGGAGGACCAGTCGCTCTCTGATGAGAAACTGTGTCAAAGTTGTTGGCACAGCTGATGGTCCATGTTCACATGCAGACTTGGAACCCGACCAAGCCTGGGGGTGGGGGTGAAACTCTTCTGCCATTTTGCAGAACGGCATCCAGCAAATGTAGGATAAGCACTGGCCGCTGTTAGGAAAGCCCCAGGAACTACTGACCCAGTAGATAGAGTCTGCTTCAAGCTGGGAGAGGCTTCCAGAAAATTCAAGAAACATCCAGGAATTGCTGGTTGGCGACATTAAGTGAATGGAGGCATCCTGAATTTTTTTTTTTTTTTTTTGGCTGTAACCAAATTGTGTAGTCATGCATCTCCTGTTTGGCCTCATGGGTGCAAAGGTGAGACAGACGTCATCGTCACTGTTGTCAGGGGTTTATGGGTAGAAGGGGGGGAACCTGCTCAGGATGAAGGACAGCAGAGATGGCTCTTTTGATCACAAGACTGCTGAGGTCCATTGCCAAGTAGGAATGACGCATGGAAATTTCCTTGCCAGCGTACCCCATGTTAAATGGACTTGCCTTGGAAATTTGCTGTGACCTTGCATGTGTGTTTGAGAAAGGTGACCCTGCTCAATGACCAGGGTGGATCCAGGATTAGGATGTATCCTGCAGGTTTTAGGAAATATCCGGGTTTAAGATAATTCAAGTTTAAGGCGTTCCCGGTTTAAGACAATAGGGGTTTTAGGGAAGTTGGAGGTTGAAGATTATTGCTGCTGGGATTAGGGTGTTCCTGCTGCTTGTTCCCGAGGAGTTCTCGTGAGATTCAAATGGGATTTTGGGAAATAAACCTCGTGGAGTAGGTGAAGTGTGCGGGAGATTTTGGATTTCCCCTGAACCTGTGTGGAGGCCGGTGTGAGTTCGGAAATAAAGAATTGCTGTTTGAATCTACAAGTGTGTGGTGGCTCGTGATTCTGGTGCCCAGCCAAGACTGTGGCACAAGACAAGGCAGGGTGGATGTGTGATCCTGCCCAGTGTCATTCTCCCCACTCCCTGTCCCCTTTCCTGCTAAGCTTCACCCCTTACCCTGCGTTCTTCTTCTTCAGGGCACATGCAACACTATGGCACATCTATTTGTTCACCGTGGCCCTGGTTTCTTGACCCCACTGGTCAGTACATTCCACCCACCAGGGAATGGCTTTTCCTTATCCCCAGCACTTGGAGCCAGGCCCAGCACATACTGGCTCCTACAAATGTGTTGTGTGGACAAACACTAACCAGGGAAACCAACACGAAGAGGCACCACCAAGGAAGGGGAAGAGTTTGGGGAGTCCAGCAGCCTAAAGGGAGTGGGGCCTAGGGAGACTGGTTCCTCCAAACCATGCAAACCTTATTTCACATGAGGAGAGAGAAAATACTGTATTGCCCAGGATTGCTTCACAGCTCCTTCCTGAAGAGGCGACCCAGGACACAGAGCACGTGGAGGGCAGGGGCTCGGCCAAGGAGGGACCATCTGCAGACCCACGGACCCTGAGGCCTGCCCACATCTTGCAACACAACAGAGGTTTGCCCGCGAGTGTTTTTAATACAGCAGAGCCTCTAACGAAGAACTCATTGATATGAGTGTTAGAGGCTGAGCCGCGAGGGGCAGCCTGCAGGAGGAAGGAGGCTCCCTTGGCCCCTTTTCCACTCCACTGACTTAAGCTCTTCTGAGTTTTAAAAAATGGTGTGGAATTACATAGTGGGCAACATTATGTACTAGGTTTTCAAAAAAGCCAAGTGGTTATCAATTTCATTAGAGCCAGAACTCTGAAAAATTGTGAGATAGAAATCCGTCATTTTGAAAGAATACCAACAATCCTAAGCAAGTTTTTTTTTTCCCCTTAAAACATCAGAGGAAACACAGTTAGTAGCTAGTTTATGAAAATATTCAGTCTTATCAACAATGAAATGGAAAATTAAGGGAAAGAATCAACTTTATCTGTAAAATTCATAGTAACAAAAAAAAGAGAGAGAGAGAGAGAGAGAGAGAGAAAAGAACAAATATTACAACGCTATTCTCCAATACTGGCAAGGATACTATAGGGAAAAAGATGCTGCAAAGAAGGAGAAGCAGGGGTTAATGTTGGCTGTGTTATGATAGAGAGGTTGTGGATTGATGTCTCCTTGGCTTGGTCTGGAAGAGTGGCTTTGTGAAACCCACATGCCACGGCTGTGTGTGTGCACAAGGCTGTATGGAGCTCCAGCTGGCTGTGGTAGGGCAAGCTGCCGCCCACCCACACAGGTGAGCACAGTGATCCAAAGAATAATGGAGGCACTGGGAACTTGCAAAAGCCTCCTGACAACTCCATCTGCTTCAGAACAACTTGCTTAGGGTATGGCTAAAAATGTGACTCGTTTCTGTTACTTGTGGAATCTGCTGGGTTTTTTGTAGGTATTCTTAGAACTTGTGCTTCTTTAAGTTTGTTCATGATCTTAGCACACTCATGGAGAGAGAATGCTGTCGTGTAATTAGCAGGGGGTGAGCCTGCTACTGACCCCAGCCACAGGAAGGCAGCAAGCAGGCCCTAGACACAGAGGAGGGAGAACAAAGGCCAGGTTCCAAGTAACCGAGTGGAGGTGCTGGGGGGTGTGGGGGGATAGATTTGCAGACCTTGTTGAAAAGAACAAATATTGATGAAGACTTAGTGAATCGTGAGCCATTGTGTTAGCAGAGACCAGAACTAACTTGTCAAGAGTCGGGGGCCCTGGAGTGGCCAAGCAGAGCCAGTGAAGCCCACATGGCCAGGAGGGAAAGACAGACAAAGCCAAAGAGGAAATGAGAAACGGCCCTAACTCTGAACCCCAGAAAAAGCAGAATCTCCTCGGGGCCAACATTGGGCCACTCTAGTGATCCCCTCCGTGACTTCCGTATAAGAGAGCATTCCTGTAATGCCACTTGTGATTTGCCTAGTGGGTGGGATTGAATCCAGGGCCTTGTGCATGGGTGTGATCTGACGTCATGGCCGAGCTTATCAGCCCTGAACCAGCAGGAAAACGGGTGTGATTCTTTCCTCCAACACGTGATGTTATCACTGACCCAGGCCCACAGCTGGAGCAGGAGGGAGCAGTCCCTGGCACAACTAGGGGAGAAGTAGACTCAGGGTAGTCAAAAAAAAATTTGGTAAAATGTCTACATCAATCTTAGAAGCATCACAAAGACGAGCCAAGAGCGGAGCAGCCAGGTGGGTACATGAGGAGGATGCTGGGTTCCTGAAGCCTGGGCCTCGGCCATTTTTTTTTTTCTTCGATCCTGCAGAAAATCTAAAAGATTGGGAGGATGACTAAGGTGCCCAGGTCATCAGGAGGGCAAGGGCAATATGAAAAATAAGAACAGAAGCAAAAACCTGTCATGTGGCTGTAGAGCAAGCACCGAACAGAGGAGTTCAACAAAGTCAAAAAGTAGTTCTTCAAAAAGACTCATAACATGGATGAATCCATGGCAAGGTAGGTTATGAGGGTGGGCGGGGGAGAAAAACAATATATAAATAACCAATATCAGGATTTAGAAAGGCAATCACACCTCAAAAATACTTGTGGGGCTGGGGATCTAGCTCAGCCGGTAGAGTGCTTGCCTTGTATGCACAAGGCCCTGGGTTCAATCCCGCTCCTCCTCCCCCACGGATTATGGGTCAGGGATAGAGAGGATATTATGGTTAACTTTATTATAAAACATTTAAAAATTAAGATAATAATGGACAAATTCCTTAAAAAACATAACCTATCAAAATGACATTAAAAAAAATAAAACCAGATTAGTCCCTTAACTGTTAAAATAAGGAGATCCAGGATTTAACTCTGTCCCCTCTCCAACAATCTCTGGAATTGGATGGCTTCACTGGCACATCTAACAAGTAGTGAAGAGATTGTTTTGTTGGGTAGAAAAAGAGAAGCGTTTTTCAACTGTCCCTAAGAGCACATCCCTGATACAGAAACCTGACGTTACAGGGGGAAGACGGTTACAGACTAAGCTCATGAATGAACATAGAGGAGAAACCTGAGAGGAATCCTAACAGATTCTCACAGCCAACAACATAGGAGCAGGACTGCATCTCATGACAAGGCTGGGTTTACTCCAGGAGCGCAAGGCTGCGATTAGTCAGCTTTTCGTCACTGTGACACAATACCTGAGAGAATCAAGTCCAGAAGAGGAAAGGTTTACTCTGGCTGTGGTTTCAGAGCTTCCAGGGTTGTCTGATCCTGATGCTTTGGGCCTGTGGCAGCTCAGTGACATATGGCAGGGGAGGCCTGTTTCCCTCACAGGCTGGGAAGCAGAGAGACAGGCAGGAAGGGACTGGATTCCAGCATCCCTTCAAGGGCACACCCCTGGTGACCAACTTCCTCCAACGGGGCCCCACCCTTCAGGGTTCCACCACCTCCCCACTGAACCACAGACTAGGGGACAAGCCCCCAACACTCAGGCCCTTGGGGGACATTCTTGAATGTCAAAATTGCCGCTGTCAAATATTTGAAAAATCGATCATTGTGAACTTAACCGCATTAGCAGAATAAAGAAGTAAAACAATGTGATCGTGTCCGTGGGTACAGGGAAAGCGTTCTGCAAAACTCGACATTTGTGCATGAGAAGTAGACTCACGTAGGGGCGCAGACAGGAACTGCCTCGATTTGTCTGTGGGTAACTGGAGAAAACGCACAACAGGTCATCTTTGATGGTGAAATGTCCAAAGCCTCCCCTTTGAGACTGGCAGCCAGCCGAGGACCTCTGTGAGCTCACTATTTCTATCCTCCCCTACGCTGGAGGTCCTGCCAGTGCAGCAAGGTCGCGATCGGAAACACAAGACGTGGGATCACAGAGAAAGAAATAAAACCGTCAGCGTTCACAGTGACTTGGGTAGATAGAGAATATATAGAGGTACGTAGAATTTTTAAAAAGTAAAAAGAAAAATAGAAAATTAAAAAATTAATTAGGATTCAGATAAATTATCCATAACAATAAGCGAGTTTAACAAAGTTCCTTGATATAAAGTCTATACGCAAAGCTCAAAGTACCCAACAGAAAAAGGAACGGACTCAAAGATACTTGACAGAATGTTCAAATGGCCAATAAACACAGGCAAAGAGGCTCACGCGTTAGCACCCAGAAAAGAGCGGGTCGTGGCGTGCTGAGAGGGCGCAGCGTGTTGGGCAGAGGAGCAGAACAAACAGCGTCCATGCCGAGAACTGCTGAGGGAGGAGGGTGGAGGGAGCTCTCCTCTGTCGCCTGGCTCTGGGAGGGGGAGAGGCTTGGTCTCACCTGCTGAGTGGGCGAGGGGCCCTCCTGCTCAGCAACCCCACTCCTGGTGCAAACCAGCAGGAAGGCAGGTCTCGTCCTCCAAGAGACTGGCCCAGGACTGCACAGCCCATGGTTCAGAGCAGCTTTGGACAGGAGACCACCTACCCACCCACCTGCCAGGAAGTGGACTCGGAGACGACATTCTCTTCACACGATAAAGTCCTGTTCTGCCACATGAATGACTCTCCCAAGCCTAAGGACCAAAAGAAGCAAATGTTCAAGAAGATGCATGTAGAACGCCATTTATGTAGACGGTGGAGGACAGTAACTAGTGTTGAGGGAGCCTGGCTTAGGACGCAGGACCCAGGAAGGGCCAGGACACAGAGCTTACCGTTCTGACTTTACAGTTGCCCGTCAGTGTGGAACGGTTCACAGAGCCCAGGTTTTAAAAATGCAACGTGATTTGAGTGCACGGTTGGCGATGTTCAGGTGTCGATCACGAGCCAGGAGACACCGGAGCAGGGTGTCTCGACGCTGGGTACACCTGTGTGCAGTAGTTGGTGGCCATGCTGAGACACAGCGCGACTCCCTGGTGAACACAGAGGGCGGCTGATCAGTCATCCTGATCCTCTGTGTGCAGGGCACTTCTCCCACAGCCCCTTCCCTTTTCCCTCCTTTCTTCCTTCCTATGAACAGAAAGGTCAGAGATAAAATGTTTTGACACATTTTAAAATTTCCTGCTCTCTTGAGACAACAGGAAACAGCAGAGGAACCTGACCTAGAATAGATTTTTGAGTATCAGTTGCAATCGTCAAGGTTAAAGGCAAAAGATGTGCATTCCGTGAGCGGGGGAACCTTCCCGGGTGGAGCCAACACACAACTTCTGTGGCTCCTGGGGAGCTGCACCCAGGGCAAATGCATACCCAACTGCCTCGCCCTGGGATGGCCAACAGACTGGGAGTCGTCCTCCTAGCTCAAAGTGGGAGGCCAGAGGCCTCAGCAACGGGGCTCGCCTCTGCTTCTCTGGGAGCCTGTTGGTCATGATGGTAGGGGGGGTCTGCAGGTGTGCTGGGGCCTTCCGAGCTTCTGGGGTCTGTCTGCACAAGTCAGCACTGTTCTCTCCTCCACCCTCTTGGGTAGGAAGACGAGTTATTGCTCCCATCTGCCACACCAGGAAACCCAGGCTCAGGAACCGCCAGGTGGCTTAGGGAGAATCCCGTCTGCAGCACGTCAACCCAGTGCTCCGCACCCTTATCTTGGTAGTTCTCAAATGCTGGTCCTTGGGGTGATTCCGAGGGGTTCAGGAACCTGTAACAGCAACCAAACAATACACACGTCTTACTGCCATTTTTCTAGGTGTGTATTTTGCATGTAGTGAAAGACAAAACCTCTCAATGTCATTAATAAAACCACAGTGCCTTCGTCTTCTTTTAATAGGTAGCGTCACAAATACTTATGGAGCACCTACTATGTGTCAAGAAACCTGGGAGATAGCACTCGGGGTTGAATCCACCTGCCACTAAGCTACAACCCTGGTCTTTTTAAAATTATGATTACTATTTTTTTAGATTTTGAGATGGTCTCATTCAGTTGCTGAGACCGGTTTTGAACTTGTGATCCTCCTGCCTCAGTCTCCCCCGTTGCTGGGATTAGAGGCATGTGCCACTGCCCCCAGCAGAGTTTGTGTTTTTTTTGTTGTTGTTGTTAGGAGAAAAAGTCCATCAATGAGCCAAGCAAAGCTTCGAGAATGTCAAGTGTGAAGGAAACAGGGCTGTCCAGGGGGATGCCCTGATGGAGGTGAGGGCGCTGGAGGAACCCAGCACGCCACAGAGCACCCCAGGACTCAGAGGTACAGGGGACGGTTATAAAAGGCCACATCCATTCCTGAGATGTTGTCCCTCCACAAGTCCCGGTGGCAGGAGAGAAGTGATTTCAGGGGAAATGCTTTGTAAATGAAAGATGATCAGGACAGTCACACGGGAGTTTTCCTTGATTCGGCTGGAATCACACTCGAGAGTCTGGCCTGACTGTGGTGTGCATTCAATAAAGAAGGGACGGTTTATGGAATATTATCAAAATGCTTTTGAAGCGTAGGTGGATCCCAAATAATAGGCATTACCCAGAGGCACTGATTTGACAGACAAAATGTTAAAGTTGTAAATTTAGGCCTTTGAGTGGGCTTTAAAAATGTCTACTGAACCAAAGAGACACTCTTTCTGGCCCAGGGATTCTTACCCTTCCCATCATGTCACAACGAGTCTGTGGGTGACAGTCAACCTGGCTAGTTGCACTGGGCAGGCCGACAGAGGGAAGGCCTGCCACCAAGATATCATCAAAGAAACAGACATTTTAATTTTGCTCAAGAACAATTAAGTACAGATCATTTTTGCTTTCAGCTAAAGATTTTTCCTGGCCAGACTCTTCTCTAGTTGCATAATAAACAGTCGGCGCCTCATACTTGAGATTATTTCCACGTTGGTTTCACAAGCTATAGCTTGTCCTCTAACGTAAAGCACAGCCAGTTGTAAACCGAAGCCCAGGGAATGGAATGTTCTCTGGACTTGGAGACTCAATGTACTTGGCCTTCCTCTTTTTAACGTAGAGCTTGTCTAAACAAATTTCGCCCCGTCTCTAACTAATCCCAGTTAAGACAAGGAAATGATAAGGTTAGCATTGTGTTTAAAAGGCAGAGAGAGAGACAGAGGCAGAGATAGAAAGAGGGGGACGGGTGGTGGGATAGGGGAGCAAACTCCACATTTTTAGCAAAACCAGCTTTATTTTCTTATTTTTCCAAAGTTTTCAGAAATCGCCATTTCATGTGGGAGTGGTAAAGGCACAGATTGGTCTCATTGCCCCTGTCCAGAAGAGGAGGCTGGACCTGTAGGCTGGTGTGGGCCCTCTACCCAGGGAACCTCACACTGCTACCCTGGCTGCAGCAGCTCTGCCAATCACACCTGGTCATCTGCTAGTCCAAAAACAAGGGAAATTTATGTTTCACAGTGCTCTACACAGTGAATGGTCCTGGACAGTATGGAGCCTGAGGCCCACTGCTGATGGAGGCCGGTGTGGTTTTCCATAGGGCCCAGGAGGTTGTCTTCAAGGAAGGCTCTGAGAAAGTGTGCCCCCTGCTGGGGAGGTGGGGTCTTGGCCAGCCTACTCTAGTCAGGTGTCCTGGGGAATCGGGGGACAGGGACCCGTCCTTTCAGCCCTACTGCGGTGACAGTGGGGACACAGAGGAGACAGCCCTAGGGAGAAGCCGTCACAGGTAAGGTGCTTCTTCCTGAGGGGCCTCTGTCTATCTCTTGGGCCCTTCCAATGACATAGACTTGTGTTGTCCCCATTTTACTTTATTTTTTTTGTATTTTGGGGGGTACTTAGAATTGAACCCAGGGGCCCTTAGCCACTTAAGCCACATCCTCGGCCCTTTTTATTTTTTATTTAGAGACAGGGTCTTGCTAAGTTGCTTAGGGCCTTGCTAAATTGCTGAGGCTGGCCTTGAATTTGCCCTCCTCCTGCCTCAGCCTCCTGTTGCTGGGATTGTAGGCGTGCACCATTGCACCCTAGATGTTGTCCCCATTTAGATGCAAGGGAACTGAGGCTCCCAGAGTGAAGTGGCTTCCTGACGGTGGATAAGGAGGGGATCTACAGAGGCTGTCTGCCTCCACGGCTTGTGTGTGACGTGCCCAGTGTTGGGTGGGCGTCCTCTCTGCTCCCTGTCCCTTTGGATGTGTGGGAAAGGGGTTACCCCAGTGCCCAGCCATGCAAGGTTCTAGAAAACGTGAGCTCCCCCAAATACCAACTCCCTTTACTCAGTGAGGACAGAAAACAGCAGAGACAGCAAGCCCTAAGAAGTGTGACAATAGGTGACACCGTGGCTCTCACTGCAGGCACTGTTTCCAAAGACGACTCAGCTGGGTGGGAAAATGCGCTTCCATTCATGTGATCAGCAGAGAAGCCCAAGGTGAAGAAACCTGAGCCCACGGGCACTGTCAGCTCTCCCCACACACAGGCTTCCTCCGCTGGATCCTGAGCCAGGCCAGGCCCTGGGCAGGAAGTTGAGAATCAAGGAACTTGCGTCCAGGTGGGAATCAGAAAAACAAGGGCCCCCCTGCAGCGCTCGTGTGGGCTGAGGGGAGATTCCTGGGTGGGGCCTCCTCATTTATGTGAGGCAAATAGCAAACCTTGGTTGGCAGGAGCCCTGGAGAAGAGAAGAGAGATGGGCCTATGGCTTGGATGTGCCCTGTGGCAGGTGACAGTTCTCACCTGGCCTGAATCCCGGGGTGTGATCAGGGTCAGGTCTCCCTCGGGCCTGGAAGGTGCTGCCTGGATCCTGCTGGGTCAGGAGGCGCCTGCTCTCTGCTCCCAGGGATAGAGGCCTTTGGTCTGGTTACTTGTGTCTGTCACCAGATACAGTGTGGCACCCAGGAGAATAAGACCATGGCTCTTGGCAGAAGGGGTGGGTAAACTGTGGTGGGAGGGTCTGGCTGAGCAGAACTGAGTTTGGAAATGATGGGCTGGGCTGGGGCATGTCAGGGGGAAGGATGCCTAGCCTGAGAAGAGTAGGGAAAGCGTCAGAGGGAGATGGAGGGGTAATTTGACAGCTTTGGGGTTGAGGGAGCAGGGTAGACCAGAGTCCCCAGTAGGCTTTCCAGGTGTTGATACAAGGAACACAAGGGATAAAGGGGCACGTAACTGAAAAGTGCAGCAGAGCTCCGAGCAGGGCACTGTCCTCTGACCGCCCACCGGGGATGCCCTGCTCCCCCTGCATGGCGTTTGTTTGCTTGTTAAGTTGGCGGCAATGAAACCTCCCCCTCCCCCCAGCTTGCAGCCGTGGGCATGAGTTTTAGAACTACAGCTGCAGAAGCAGCCTCATTGCTCATGGTGCCCAGGTCAGCCCTGGGTGGTTCTCAGGTCTTCCTGGACATCCAGTGGATGCTTTGCAGGCAACGGGGGTTTAAAATCCCTTCCTGCTTAGCACGGCCAAGGTGGTTCTGACTCAAGGCTGCTTGAACCTTGCTGCTACACCCACCCCTTAACAGGGTGGAACCCCCCCCCCCCGCAGTATCCCTAAGGTGAAGTCCTCGCTCCCAGGCCCTCCAAACAGGGCTGTACTGGGAGGTAAGTTCGACAAGGAGGTAAGTAAGTTGACGTGAGGTCATCAGGGCAGGCCCTAGTCCAGCATGATGGTCCTTCAAAGAAGAGGCCATCGGGACAGACACACAGGGTGGTGGTGGGGGGAGCCAGGAGAAGATGCCATCACGGAGCCAAGGAGAGAGGCCCCAGGGGAACAGGCCCTGAGAGACCTTGCCCTGCTTTATCCTCCAGAACAGTGGGGCACTAAATGCTGCCCACAGTCCACGGCGGCCGAGCCCGGCACAGGCTCCTCGTTCCCTGTAAGCAGTCGCTGCTGTTCCTCAGCATCCGTGGCACTCCTGCCGCAGGACCCTGCACTGCTGTCCCCAGGCAGCTCACGGCTCTCTTCCTGGCCTGCTGCAGGACTTCCTGCGTTCCCACTGCCCACAGTGCTTCCCTGGCCCCTTGGCTCCCACCTGGCTTTTTCCTGGGCACTTGAACCACCTCTTCTCGTGTCCTGTTGGTGGTCTGTGTCCCCTCACCAGACATGAGCCCCTCGAGGCCCGTCCTGCTTGCTGCCATACCCCAGGGACACAGCAGGCTGTCCACACGGCTGAAGCAGCGTTTTCGTTTTCCGTTGTTAGGTAGATGAATGAACGCAGCGCTCCCTGGGACCGTGGCTTAACTCTGTCCTCCCAAGCAGCCCTGTGAAGTGGCACTTTTGTTATCTCTGTTGGTGAGCACAGAGGATCAGTAAGGTCCCGAGGCCACATTTTCTGCTTGGAGAATGTAGATGTGAATCCAGGTGGCCCAGCTCTAGCATCTTGGCCCAGAAATCCTCTGTCCTGGACACAAGTGTGGGGCCTGTTCATGGCAGAAGGACATCCGGGGTGGTCACAGGCAGGAGCTGGAAGTGCAGACCCAGTGGAGAGCAATTTGGGACATCTGTGCACGAGCAATGTTTGCACTGGGGAAAACACCCCACTGAGGCCTGGACTCCCCTGCCCCCCACCTTTTTTTTTTGCAAGGGGGCGATCCCTGCC